AAGTCTACGAGTACACCAGCTGTACCACGTTTACCACAACCTCTGGATACATGGAGGGCTACTACACCTTCCACTGCCTCTACAACAAGGACAGATTCTTCAATGTCACAATCCCTAGGTTTCATATGGTGTGTCCAGCATTCAAGGTGTCCACAGCATGAATGGTAAGCAGAGATGCAGTTGGGTAAAACAAACCCCAAACTTATAAAAATTACAAAAATTACAGTGCTGAATAGTGTTTGTATTGCCGATTCTATACAAAATGCCCCACAGTTCAGAGCTCCTCACTGGTGCCTGCAGATATGGCATTGCATGAACTGCTTGGGTTTCAGAGCTCCCTCCTTGGTGGGAGCACACTCATTAATTTTAGCCATAATAATGTATCTTTCTATTCAGACATGGTCTAGTTAATGACAGTTTAAAAACTGTAGAGTCTGTGATATGTGTTAGTTCTTGCTGAAAGTGCATTTCATAAAGTCACTTAATGACTTTGCAAATCACCAAGATACTTCACTTGCTGTTAATTATAATGTAGTTTTAGTTTGGAGATGGTGGGTTAATTATATAATTTCTCCCTTTTCTTTGACACATTTAGAGAAGAGCTCTTGATTTATTTTATTCCCAGAATTAGTGCAAGCACTGAGGAGCTGTGAGCTTTCCTCAGGAGCAAGCAGCTGCTTGCACACAGTGACAGGTTTATCCCAGGATTTCAGACACTCATTCCCAGTGGCTCTAAGAGTAGGTGCCAGCAGATGTCGTGCTTCTAACAGAAAATGACATCTCTTAACTCTTGCTCACATTTTTGGGAATGTAACTGCCTTCCTAACTTCCTTCCCTTCAGTTGATTGGGAAAGTAATTTGCTTTTCTCTGTTGCTCCACTCCTATTTTAAAAGTAGTAATGACCCTTTTCTTTTTAAGTTACTTTAGTAAAAGACAGCCTAAACCACCAAGAAAATGGGTACAGCTGAGCTACTGAACTGTGGCTTTACATACTTGGAGGTATGGAATATTGAAAGCCAGTGGATCCTTAGAGAGTGAAAGGTCAAGCACTTTGGCAAAATAACCTCGGTTGCAAATTAACCTTGGTTTTAGGACATAGATCACAATGTCTGCTGCAGCTAATGGGTGTGATAATGAAGCCCAGATTTTTCTAGGCAATTGTTAGTGCTTTCTTAAAATTAACCAGAAAGGAAGATTTTATTTAAACCTGGGTGTGTTTTGTGTTAAGCAGCAAATCCCAATGAAGCTGCAGTGGATGAAGACGAAGATTCCACAGGCACTGATGACTCCTGAGATCCACGTACAGTGTTGGACATTCCTGCACCCTCTGGATGCTGCCATGGCACACTCTTGGGATTTTTTCCCAAACAGTTTGCATAAGCTGAACTCTTCAGGGCTAGTGCATAGGAATATTTCTGACTGTTGTAAATGAACTCTGTTGCACATCACGGCAACTAGCATGAATGTTGGTGCCAGTTTTCATATTCATTAAGAGTATAACTTCTATTTCCCTGGTTTGGAAGTGGGGGAAGAGGGAGGAAAACTGGGGGAGGGGGAGGAAGAGGAAGGTGTTTGGGCTTTATTTACTTTTTTCTGAAGTGTGAAACAGCTTGATAGTCCAAGGTACTCATATCTCACGTTCTTAAAGTATTGCCTACTTACGATCATACTGCAAATATGGTGTGGGGATTTGGTTTTCTACAAAGCATTAGAAGGGTGTATCCCATTGTCCTTTCTCATGAGTTTCTGCTCTGGATAACTGCTGCTGAGAATGAAACTTGCAGTTTGGTCTGAATATCCCATTTGGGTGAGATTAGGTGCTGTTATGCTATTTTTTTTAATTAACATGGTAATGGCAAAAAATTCTGGTCATCAAAATGTATAAATTAGGAGTGAAACTGGCCTTATTTATAGACAATCTATTTGTCAGTTGGATTTTATGCTAAGTGACTCTGACTGGAGAATGCCTCTGGGAATGTAGTGTCCATGCATAATCTGCCACTCGTTAAGTAAGGAATTTCTCAATGACTACAGAGTATGGATTTGTAAATATGTTTTGAGGTTTTTTTCCATTGATGTTTGCTGTTGTCATAGGTGACAAATTTATGTTATGTATCATATTTTCATGAGCCCTGGATGAATTTTTGTAACTGAATAAAAAAGAAAATAAAATAAACAGGAGGCTGGCAGAACAGCAGATGACTAGAAAATTTATATTTAAAGAAGTGTCTGTTGGCTTTCTCATTTGTATTTTGTTTCTGTTGTCCTTAATAAACAACTGCCTCTTTTGTTCTCAAGTACTACATGGGACTGTTTTTGCCAAGACTTGAGCAATAACTTTGTGACCAGCACTGGTGTAGTCAGTTCTTTCTTTTGACAGCTAGATATTGTAGGTTTTATGAGGTAGACTGGTATATTGTGGTTCCAACTCAAATCTTCCATTATTGACTAATTTCCAGATTTCTCTTTTTTTTTTGCAAGTCCAGGTATTGGATTCTTCATGTGCTCAGCTTTTCCTGGTGCATTTTCCACAGTGGCACAAGGTGGAAAAACAAATGCTGAGTCTGATCTGTACCACAGTCATAAGGTGAAACATCTCCAGAAACAAAACCAGCTTGTGTTGTCCCTCACAGGAGTCAGAACAACACTGGGTTGCTGGAATGCTTCCAAAACACGAGGATTTTTGAGGATTACCACACTATTATCTGTGAGGGGTAAGAAATTTCCACAAAAGTTTTGTCAAGGATCAGTACCAGTAGGTTTTAGTGGAACTAGAACTTCCTGCAGGGCTGTCAGTGGGCTGTGTGTTTCCAGGGATGGATAACCCTCATGGTTGGAGCCTGTTCTTGGGAAGTTCCCTCCCAGGATCTCTATGTTCTAGTGCAGTGGAATCAGCTCAAGGGCATGGGACTCTACACAACAAACACTGCCAAGTCTTGGCAATTTCACTCATTTTTGGGGAGTGGTTCTGAGCTGGAATTCTTGCTCTCTGTGGGAGAAGTCAAGATCCAGGACAGTGCTGTGCTTTCAGCCCCTGAGTGCTGCAGTGCCGGGGTTTGAGGCTTCAGCTCTGGGCACAGCTGGTGGCAGAGGGGTCTGGAGGGAGGAGACAACCAGGCAGGGAATGGAGGGACTGCTGCTCCTGCCCTGAACGCCAGTGTGTTTGTAGCAGGCCAAAGGGTGTTTCTTTGCTTCAGGCAGCTATTTTAGCACAGGGTGTGTTGCCTGGAGCTGCCAGCAGCGCTGCAGCTCCTCATGATGTGCATTTGATGTGGGGCTGAAGCCAGTGGCTCTCCTTACCCCTCCCAAGAGGTGTGAATCATGGAATCAATGTGAAATGGAAAACAAAGGAGTTGGTGATGTTTGGCAGCACTGCTGGATTGTGGGAATGTTCACTGAGCAGCAGGAGAGAGCTGAGTTGAGGTCCTGCGGCCATAGACAGCACCTCACTGCTCTGGGCGAGCACAAGTGTGGGGCAGGGTCACTCCAGAACCTCCAGGTGCCAACACTTCCTGTAGTCACTGGAATCACAGGAATGTTCTTCCCTTCAGCCACCCTCCTGCTGGCTCAGCTGAAGCTCTGCCACCTTCTCCTGCCTCAGATCTGACTCTAACATTTGGTTAGGACTTCACCTGGCCAGCTAAAACCGGCCTCGTTGAACACCCGTGACTCAGCGTGTGGTGGAACCCTGGTACATCCAACACAAACATGTACCTGCTCTGGTCCCTTTTCTGTCCCTGTGCTGACAGTTTCTTTATACTTGTCTTTACGATTCCTTCAGCATTTTTGTGGGATTTTGCTGGCTGAATGGTTTCATGGGAGGGGACCTTTGGCCACGATTTCTTTGCCATCACTGCATCACAGAGAGAAAAACAAGTGGTGCGCCAGCCAGTGAAATAAAAAGTTGCTGTGCAAGTTATTCCAGGGTTCTGGTGTTAATTTTTCTGTCATTGTTTAGTTTCTCTAACTTTGTGCAAAGAATTTAAGGTGCAAAATTCAGGTCAAGTTTGAAATACCATTTATCTGTGATGATACAGATAAATGTGTGCTCTGTTGGAGGGACTCTTGCCAGATTTTGGGGAAGGAAAACAAGTAAATGTTCAGCTGTGGCTGAAGTGCCTTGTTCCCAGTTCCTCAGAGAAGTGAATTAATATGGGATTTTTTTTCTATCATATTAATTGAGTGGATTCTCATTTAATAAGCTGCATCCAATAATCCACAAGCATCTTACTCTTATCTCCCTTTTTATTTATGGGAGATAAATATGGGAGCTTAAACAGAGGCAAAATCTTTTAGACAGAAAATAATATACTGAGCTGACTGATAATCAACACACCAAGAGATCTGATTTAAGTTCTGAGTGGTTTAGGATTTGCTTTAGGTTTAGTAAATAAATAGGCAGTTTAGGTGGGATAAAAACTAAATCTAAGAATCCTTTTTAAATATTACTGGTAACTGTACAAGTATTTCATATTGTCCTCAAATCAGCACTGACTTTTTTTTCTAGATAGCATGGATCAAAGTATTAATAAAATACTTTGGGGGTCCTCATTTCTATTGCTGTTCAATGTTTTCCTGAGCTTTGAATGTTTAAATCTAGATTCAGGTACCTGTGCAGGAATGTGCCACTTTCCACTCCTGGTTTTTCCTTTGTGTGTTCTAAAACCCTTCACTGTTTTCATTTATCTGTTAATTCATACCATGAAGTATCCGGGGAGACCTTAGAGCACCTTCCAGTACCTAAAGGGCCTCCAAGAAAGCTGGAGAGGGACCTTGGACAGGGCAAAGGGTAATGGATTTTAAGTGACAGGGGGTGAATTTAGATGGGATATTGGAGAGAAATTATTTAATCAGAGCACGGTGAGGCCCTGACACAAGTTTCCCAGAGAATCTGTAGCTGCCCCATCCTTGAAGTGCTCAAGGCCAGGTTGGAGCAACGTGCGAGAGTGGAAGGTGTCCCTGCCCACGGCAGGAACGAATGGTCTTGAAGTTCCCTTCCAACCCCAAAGCGGCGATGGCCGCAGGCATGGCCACACGCCGCGTGAAGGAGGGTGGCACACGCCTTCCTGGAAGTGTTCCCGGCCGGCGGGAGCGGGGATCCCGCAGGAACCCCCGCTGCCGGCCTGAGGGAGCGCTCCTCCCGCTCGGCTCCCTCAGCGGCTCCCGGCCGCCGCCCCGCCCCGGAGGCGGCACCGCCGACAGAGGCAGCCCCGGCCGAGGCAGCGTCGCGTCGCCGCTCGCCGCACTCGGCAGGATTTGCCCGGGGAAGGTGAGGGGGACAAGCCCCGAGCAGCCGCGGCGGCAGCGCCGGGGGCCCGGCGAGGCCCAGCGGTGGCCCCGCTGCGGGGGAGAGAAGGGGGCAGAAAGCGGGGAGCAAGGCGGCTTTTCCCGGGAGCGTTTGGGTGGCACTGTGTGCTCGGCGCGGGGCAGGTGCGCTCCGGCCGCGGCCGTGCCCTGAGTCACGGCGGCCGCACCGCAGTGCGCTGCGCTGCGCGGGGCCGGGGGAAGGCGGCCGGCAGGCACCGGCACCTGCCCCGCTCGGGCGGCTCGTGTCCCCTTCCCCCGTCCTCTCCCCTTTCCCCCCGTGCCGGCATCTGCGAAGGCAGCAGCAGCGGGTCTTGTCCGCCTGCCTCCTCCCAGGTGGGACTGCAGAGAAATTCTGTTTCACAAGCGGGCGCTGAGCCTTCCGCGCTGTGGCAGCTGCTGTTTCTTGTCATTGAGATGGGTCGGATGCTTTGGCTGATACCACTAATTTAGAAAATTCCGTTTAGGAGGCGTTTTCTTCTTTAATTTCCGCTAAGCCATGTTGTGAATTGCTGTTTATAGATGCAGTAATTGTTTTTCAAAGGTTGGAATTTCCTGCTGTCTCACACAGAAAGAATTCTTGGCAAAAAAAAAATAGATGCAATGAATTACTACTGTTTTGCTGGCTCTGATGACTTTTACTCATTTCCCTTATATTTATGCTGGTCATGACTTGGTGTTGCTAAAAGGCAAAGCTGTTTTTGTCTGCTGACACATAGATGACTGAGGAGTCCTGGAAGATGGAGAGATTCCCAGGGTGGTTCTGTCTGCTGTCCAGAAGGGCTCTTGCTGTAACACTAGACTTGACAGTGCTGCTGCAGATCCACATCACTTTGGGATGAGCCTCTGGCTTTGAAGGGCTTCTTGCAAAGTTGTTTACCCCAAAAAATAAGCTCATCTTGCACATTATGGTTCTGTTTTTTATAGTTTCCCCTCTGCTCAACAGTAAGTCATACAGAGAGGAGAAAAAAGAGAGCAGATTGGTTTTTTAGCCATTGGATGGGATTTCTTAAGGTTATTTTGGATAGGTTTTGTGTTTTTTTTGTTTGATGAGGTTTGGGGTGTTTTGTCAGTAGAAAAATTAACTAGACTTAAGGTTGAGATGCATTTAAATACTCTTTTGCTGTGAACCTATCTTGTCAAGTCCACAATCACTGTCCTGGGAGGAAAAAGCTCTATCTAAGATGGTTAAGGTCTGCCATGCTAAAATCTTAGAGCTGCAGGCAGAATTAAGAGCAGTGACAGTTTTACTACAGTTTTATCAGATGTAAAGCTTTTAGGAATACCTTTAATATTTTGGAACTTTGAATACCACTTGGGCTTTAAAGACAAACATAAATCATGTCCTCCTACACAAGTGTGGTCCCTTTCTCCCTGCTGTGTCTGCTTGGTGCCTCCTCAGAATATCCCACTGTGCAGTAGCAGAGGTTTTTCAGTCGGAGCTGTGATTGTTGTGCAGAGTCTGTGTGCAGAAATCTGTCTGAGAACTCCTGCTTCAGAGCTGCCTATGTTTAAAAAATTCCTGACCTTCCCATTTCACTGCTGCCTACGGATTGCAGCAGCCATGGAGACCTGAGCCACTGCTGCAGGCACTTGGTGAGTTACTGCCTGTGTCAGTCCCTCAGTGAGAGGGAGAAATTTTGGGAGAGAAGAGAGCAAAAGCTCCTGCAGAGCAGCCAAACCTCTTGCAGCCCTATGAGAGAGGAGAAAGGAGAGCAGTCTGGCTCCAGGGTTACTGGTGAATTGCTGAAAGAGAAAAAGCATTTGAGACCTTTCTTTTTGTTAGGTGCATTTGTAGCTGTGAGAAATTGGGAGGCCTGTTGAATGGTGTAATCAGAGAGGAGAGAGGAGACCCATCTGAGTCTGTCAGGCTCCAATATCAGTTCTGAGAATAAAAATCCTGTTCTCAGAATAAAAATCCTCCCTTGAAAAGTGCAGTTATTTTTCTCTCTTTTGTTTCCCTGCTTTTCCTGGACAGTGCTTTCAATTTTATATTGAAACAAGTCTTGAAACCTTGGTTCATCACTGGGCACTTTGCTCTTAAATAAATAAACTTGTAATATCTCTTTATGCCCTCAAATTAGGGAAGAAGCATGACCAAGATGAACTGCATCCTGCTGAGTGCCTGCATTGTTCTGATTAATTTTTGTGGCTCTGGTGAGTAGAAGAGAAGGACCTTGTGGTTTAATGTTATGGCAGAGGCTGAGAAAATCATGGAAAAAATGCCAGAGGGAGTAAAAACAGCGAGATGAGAAAGGCCTGGATTGTTTAATACCACTGTGGGGAATGCCAGTAACCATCCAAGCAGGGTTCAGTTTCTGTTCTGATTGTCTTGGGTCAAGACAATCAGAACAGGAGGTTCTCAGGAGAGAGAATTGGGGGGAGAATGTGGTGCTGCTTAACACAACAGAAAACTGGTATCTTGCTGCTAGAAAATGGGATTCCTCTTGTGTGAATTGGAAACTCTTGTGTAGTATGAGAGGGAAAGGAGATAGAATTTAAAAAATGGATAGAATAAAGCTCAGCTGCAAGTATCTGTCATTGCCTGGAAAAGGCAGTCTTCAAGAGCAGATAAAAGGAGCAAACTAATATCTTGTTCTGTAGGCAGATAATGGTGTTTTTAAAAGTGACATAAATACATGCTTCAAGATGTGCCTGTCAAAATTGCCAGCCTCAATTGGTGCACTGACATAAGCTTGTCAATTTTAACTGAAGTCTTGAGTTTAACAATTTTAGCTGAAGTCTTGAGCTTAATAACCAGGCATATGTTTCGTGACAATTAGATGCAGATAAGTGATTCTTTTTTTTTTTTCTTTTCCTTTTTATTGCTGCTGCTGTCTCAGTAGTTTATTAGTTTATCACTCAGTGAAGATAAACCCTTGTTGTCTTAGGTTATACCTTAAGATGTTACCACTGTGACAACAGCCCTACCCTGTGCAGGACCAACAGCACCTGCTTAACGACTGAAGACACTTGCTTGCAGTTGAAATTTGGTATGTACAGTGTCCCACAGACCTAAAATAAACCCACTTGGATCAGCTTTCATTGCCTGGCCACCTCTCATCTGGCCCTAGCATGCATATCTCAGCCTCACTGGAAAGGAACTTGCACATAATCTTGAAGGTCATGCTTGTATCCAAGCAGTAACATAATGATTTAGATGTGTGAGTTGTAGCTGTATAACCATGTTTATTCAGATTTAAAAAATAAGGAAACAAACAAAAAACTACACAAGGGAGCTGTAAAAAAATAAAGACAGCATTGAATTTCAAATACAAGCTGTCACTCTATTAGAACAGATAAAGGATGCGTAGCTCACAAAATAAAGCTGCAGATGAATGGCTCAGTCATTTATGAATTGACACTATTAAAATAAATTCTCTTTTCCTGAGAGTGAAGTGATTTGTGTCTCAGGATGGACATCTTTAACTAGATCAGGTTGCTCAGAGTCTGGCCTTGAATGTTTCCAGGGATGAGACATCCATCACCCCTCTGGACAATCTGTGCCTGTGTTTTACCACCCTTATCTACTCTTCCAGTTCTGTGTTCTGCACATTCTTCACTGAGAGCCTTGTCAAGTGCTGGCCCAGGCTGCTCAGGGCAGTGCTGGAGTCCCCATCCCTGGAGGGATTTAAAGGCCAAGTGGATGTGGCACCTGGGGACATGGGTTAGTGGAGGGCTTGGCAGTGCTGGGTTAAAGATTGGGCTTGATGATGTCAGAGGTCTTGTTCAGCCTAAATGGTTCTGTGAATGCAGGCTGAGCTGGCTGGTGATGCCAGGTATCACTCAAGCCCCACCCTGTATTTCCCAGTGGGTGAATTGGATACACACTGTTGAATTGCTAGTGAAAGCAAATTTGGAAACTTCTAAACACTTGAACTTAAAAAAGGAAGTGCATGGCTGTGGCAAAAACAAAACTGTAGGGCCGATGCTGGGGGCACAAATGGCCCATGAACTGCAAGACACAAGACTTCACAAAAAGTGTCTCTTCTGGAGAGGGTGAGAGGCCAAGCCCAGTGATCTGTCCCTGAAATTTCATGTCAAATTCTCATTTCCAGTTTGCTACGAAATCGGGGGTATATTTTATACCTTATTAGCCACTGCTGTGTAGAGTGCTGTGGATGGGACTGTGGTCAGACCTTCCACTCTTTGCACAGAATATTTCTTGGTAGGAGGTTTGTGCTGGATTTGTGCAACATTTCTAGGTGTGGAGTCAAAGAACCAGACCATGCAGCTTCTGCCTCCCTCCACTGCCCCTGATGCTATGGCAACAGAGACCGCAAGGCCTCCATCCAATTTCTGTGTTTACACCATGGGCCTGTCACAGACTGAACTTTGCCTTCTCCTCACATTTTTTTTCTTTAACAGTGGCAGTCTAAGCACTGCTTCTCTCTCCGTACCAAAAATGTCGTTACTGTCAACATTCTCTTAATCTGTTTAATCTTTTTTGTTCCATAGGTAAATTGAGAACTTTCTCCTGCTGGAAGTCATCCCAGTGCAATGTGAATGAAATTGCTGATTCCTTCCTGCTGGATAATTTTGAATTCTTTTGCTGCCAACACGACCTGTGCAATGAGAGTGCAATTACTGGGGTTAACAAAGCAGCCTTCAGTATTGCTTCTGTAATGGCCATGTTATGGATGCTCCTGTAATAATCCTGATTTGTAAGATGTCTTTTCAAGATGAAGTTACACAAAACCATTAACAATTTTCTATATAGCATATTTTCAGCTCCTGTCCATAGGCAGAAACATTCCTGTGTAATTTTCAGTTGTTTCCCAAGGTTCTGTCTGTTAAATCCTGCCTCCATTCATGGGAAGGAGATGTGTGTTGATACCACTTAGAGGGTCTTATGATCTGTCCCCCTGCTCATGGGGAAGATCATCTCTTGTGAAGTTACCTTGTGGAGAACCTGGGCAAGCTCCAGTGGGTGATGTGAAGGAGAAGGAACACTACAGCTTTTCTGACGCTGTTGGGTCAGGGATGGATGAAATGACTCCATGGTTTAGAAGGAGAAAAACAGAGATCCTTTATTAAGGATCTTGTATTAAGTGGTAGCGTGCTTTTATAACCAGGATTGCTAAGGTGAAATCTGATTGGTCTCAAAGTAAAAACCTTTCACACTCTTGGTGAACTATGAATAGCACACTCTGAAGGTACATATCGATAAACAACATGAACAGAAAGAGAGATAATAATTGATTTTATTCTTCCTCTCTAAGTTTCCCAGGCTGAAGCCTGGGAGAATTCTCTTCAAATGAACTGATAATCTCCACACTTTTCTGCTGGAAACCGTCATTTTTTTCCTGTCACATAAACTGTCATTATTTTTGGTTGGCATTTCTGTGGGTTTTGATTTGTTTTGCTTTGGATCCTCCTTGTCACAAACCAAGCAGTGGATTTGCCCTCAACACAAGAAGTGTTGGATCATAAGATCTCAAAGTAAAAACCTTTCACACTCCTGGTGAACTATGAATAGCACACTCTGAAGGTACATATCGATAAACAACATGAACAGAAAGAGAGATAATAATTGTTTTTATTCTTCCTCTCTAAGTTTCCCAGGCTGAAGCCTGGGAGAATTCTCTTCAAATGAACTGATAATCTCCACACTTTTCTGCTGGAAACCGTCATTTTTTTCCTGTCACATAAACTGTCATTATTTTTGGTTGGCATTTCTGTGGGTTTTGATTTGTTTTGCTTTGGATCCTCCTTGTCACAAACCAAGCAGTGGATTTGCCCTCAACACAAGAAGTGTTGGATCATAAGTGTACCTTCCTGCAGTCTTTGTGATGAATATGGAAATATTCAGTTTCAAGTCATGTAAACACTTTGTTCCCATCACTGTACCTTTTTTTTTCCCTACAAGCCAATGATATAACCTTATCAAGTGCTGTTATTTTGGGAGAAAGCATCTGCATTTCTTAAGCCAAAACCAAAATATTACTATAAGTGAGAAACACTTCTCTTTTTTTCTTTTAAATATATATATTTCTGTGAGCATGTAGACAACATGTGATAGCTTCTTTTTGGATTTTCCTCATACATTATCCATGCTTAGGACTTTAGGTGAGCATGTGCTTTGCACTGGGTATTTATTGGTATACTGAAAACCAATTATAAAATGCTAAGGAGTTGAAATGGCACATGTAGGTTACTTCCCCACCTAGTTAGCTTTTGGGTTTTGTTGAAAACAGCGACATGTAAACTTAACCCTTCAAGCTTCCGCCTAAGTGTATTAAAATCTTGCAGAACTTTCTTTCATAAATGCCAATGCACAGTGTAGATGTGTATTTATATAGTATGAATAATACCTGCTCCATCTGTAGGTGTGAGAGGTCAAATTCTGAAATACTTACATTGCTCTGCTCCATGGTGGAGACAGACCATGGGACATCTCTGGAACCTGGGGACCCTCTCAGTCAGATGGGGTGCCAGATCCTCCCTTTTCTTCTTCTGGAGCTGCTGGCATGTCCCTGCCAGAGTTGTGTCCATTGCCAATGGGATATCCTCTTTCTGAGGACCCTCACTTCTGCTCGTGACACCAGTGACATCAGTTCACCAGTCACAACAAGGGTGTTGTTCCAAATCCCTGAATGTAATCCACAATGTACCTTTTGGTTGAGCTTATGGTAGCTATGAAAGTGTCCTGGGATCTCTCCCATCACTCTAATTACAGAAGTTGTCCTGTCTTTGATAAATAAAAATATCAGAAAAGAAGAATGTGGACTGTGTGGTGATTTGTTGGTATTTACAGCTGGATAGAACTCCAGTTGTTTCCATGGGAGGTGCATCCATGCTTCCCATCCAGAGACTCAGAAGGTTCCAAGTAGACTTCTTCCTTATTTTTATTTCCCACCTGATTAAAACCAAACACTGGAAGACAGCAATTTCTGCACAATGACTTTTTCCATGGCTGCAGCACCATTTGTCAAACTCAGGCTCATTTCTGGGGAAAAAGTATTAAAGGACTGACTCAGTATAAATTGGGAGAAGGTTTGTAGCAGAGAGGTATCTTTTGTTGGACAAGGTGATAGATTCCTTATGCTTAAATCATCCTGATGGCAGCATTTTTTCTCTATTATATTGGCAATGTCTCTTTTTTGATGGTGGTGGTTTTAAACATGTTTCATTGCTGTATGGCCTGCATATATAAAATACTCGCCTTTTTTGTTAAGTGCAAAAAGAAGCTCTATATTTTGTGTGTCTAATCTTCAAGCAATCATTTTTACTATTTCTTTTTTGATAGCCTTGAACACTTTGTCTAAATTATCATACCGTTTTGTTTCTCTTCTAGAAGCAGCCTTAGCAATGAGCCCTTGTGTTTTAAATATGTTAGTTTCTTTTTGTAAAGATCCACCAGAACATGGTTTAATTCCTGTAAGGTTTGCATTTTCTGAGTCTGGCTCTGCTGGCTGCTGAGCTCTCTCCTGCTGGTTGTTGAACAGTGACTGCCCCTTGAACTTTGGCATTTCTCCCCCTGCTGCTGCTGTGTTCTGCCCAGATTTGCTGGGCAGTCCACAAAGAGGACCATTAAAACCGAGAAGGACATGAAAACTTTAGCTCAAGTATGAAAATACTGAAATTTGTTTAACTCTGAGTCCACCGGGACTCCCAAGTCCTGTGCAGAGCTGTTTTCCCCTGGTCAGCCCCCAGCCCGTGCTGGTGCCTGGGCTGATTCCCAGCATTTGGGGTGGGTGTCACAAAGCCAGGGACTCCTGGCTTTGGGCCTCCCTCAGTGGGAATACCAGCCAGATATTTTGTGTGGCTCAGCTGTGTCCTCTAAGACCCAGGACGATGCAGAATAAACTCAGGCTGTGCCTCGGTGCAGAGGTGTCTGTTGCCCCCTGCAGCGAGTGCTGGGTAGCTTGTCACTCTTGTGGGGGTTGCTTTCTTTTTATTTTGTAATTCTCCGAATGGTTTGCTCTGCTCTGCATTAGTGGCATGACTAAAACCCCATCCTTTGAATGGGCTTTCTGTGCCACTACACATCATTTATGTACTAATGGTCATCTGACTGCCCAAGAATATTCTTCCCTACATCTCCTTCTCAGTTGCTCTATAACAAGCAGACCAGCAGTCTCTCTTTTTTTTGGAGGGGGGACGACACACAAATTATACAGGAACAAGAAGGAGAAGGTAACAAATGGAAGCTTCATCAACAGCAGGAATTCATTCCTGTGATCTGTTTTTAGCACAGATTCCTCCTCCAAGTCCTCATGGTGGTGACCAGGTGTCCTTTGACTTGAACTTGGGAATGGAGAGAGCTTGGAGGCCTCCTGGTACTGGCAGGAATGTGGGGCTGATACACCTGGTTGAGAAGAATGTGGCTTTACCCTGTGTGAAATCCTTCTCTAGTTTTACCATCCCTCATCAAGGACGAGGTGGGATGTCTGTGTGTTATTTCAGGATGCAGGAAATTGTGAAAAGAAGCAGATTCATTGGGGAAAAAACAGACAGGCAGAGCAAGCAATTTCCTCCCACTGCTTTTTGGTGTGAGAGGAATGAGGAGGCTGACCAGTGAGCAGCTTTATTTTGTAAAAAGGAGTAGCTAAGACAACAAACTAGTCCCAGCAGAGAACTGCACATTAAATACCTCACTGTTGCACTAACTGGGGCATCTGGATACTGCTGTTATATAAATATTAAATGCATTGAACAACAGTGGTGTTCCTCCAGCTGGAAGAGAGTTTGATGTGTCTGAATCTCTGTGTGTCTCCAAGGGCTTGGATCTCACTGGTAAATACAGTCAGTCCTAAGCTGGCATCACACCAGGGGAGTTTGGCTGTGCCTAAACATCCAAGAAAGCCTTGTCTGTGAGATCCCCACGTTTACGGAGGCAGAAACAATCACACTGCACTTTCTGACTCCACACAAGGTGAATATTGCCCTATCAGCACAGTAATCACACCATTCTGCATTTTAGAGGGAGAGAAGGGAGTGACTGATTGGCTGTGAGATCCCCAAAAGGAGTGTGTGGTCATCTCCACTCCCATCCTTCCAAGAATAATTTATACATTGGGATAAAATGAAGACCTGCAGATGATTTTATTTTTATGGGTATGACAACTTACAGCATAGGGAAAACTGTCCTGGAGCCGAGGAAAGGGCAAATTAAAAATACTTTTGGTTTCTTCCTCCTAAGTGGAATGAGTAAAACCAAAAGGGTTTGGAGCAAAGTTCCCCTCCCAAGTAACAAAATCTCTGCATGTGATCCAATGTTGGTTCTATTTAAGGGACAAGCAGTCTTGAATTGATTTAGATGCTTCTGAACCCATATCCCAGCACCTTGTGAGTCTAGCTGAGTTATTCATGGCACACTAGTGCTGTTCAGGAGTGACAGCTTCACCATTCCTCACTGCACAGGGTTGGTTTGGTGCTTCATACAATTCAAGCCTGCCCCTCACACCATTTTGGTAGATAGGGATGGGAGTGAAGCACCTGCACTGCTGTTTTCTCCTCTCTCACAGGTATTCAGAGATGCTGCTCTGGGGCAGGTTGGGAGAAAAGCTATGGAGACACTGCAGGATGGGGATAAAATTCCAAAGGATACAGGTTGAGAGGATGGATGTTGTGGTCACATTCACAATGGAATTTGTTTTGGAGACTGCTGCAAACCACAGAAACCTTATTCTCCAGAGGATTCTCCAAGGAGTGCTCTGTGCCACATGCAAGCCTGTGGTTCTGGAGTTCATTCCATGCTCA